TGCTTTGCAAGCTCAATATAGCGGACCATATGTGATTGACCATCAGGTTGGTGAGTGTGATTACTTGGTTAAGACTCCAGATCGTAAGCGAAAAACACGCTTGTGTCATGTGAACCTGTTGAAACCTTACTGTGAGAGGAACCAGCCTGTGCTCTCAGATGTGAAGACTGTTGCTGTGTTGAACACTTCAATCCATGTAAATGAGGATACTGATGTCGTGGTTGTTCCAAAAGACAGTGATGTTGTTGTTTCAGAGAACAGTGATGTTCCAGAGGATGCTTTCGTTCATCCAGAAACCTCTCAGGATAGGTTGCCAAATTCTAGTAAACCAGGAACTGTAAATCACCTGGTGTTACTCACCTGCATAGGTACATACAGGTGTGTTACTCACCTATATAGTACAGACAGGTGTGTTACTCACCTGCACAGGTACATACAGGTGTGTTACTCACCTATATAGTACAGACAGGTGTGTTACTCAGCTGTACAGGTACATACAGGTGTGTTACTCACCTGCACAGGTACATACAGGTGTGTTACTCACCTGTATAGTACAGACAGGTGTGTTACTCAGCTGTACAGTACATACAGGCTTGTTACTCACCTGTGCAGGTACATACAAGTGTGTTACTCAGCTCTACGGGGACATACAGGTACATACAGGTGTATTACTCGCCTGTACAGGTACTTACAGGTGTGTTACTCGCCTGTACAGGTACATACAGGTGTGTTGCTCACCTGTATAGTACAGATAGGTGTGTTACTCAGCTGTATCGGTACATACAGTTGTGTTACTCACCTGTATAGTACAGACAGGTGTGTTACTTGCCTGTACAGTACATACAGGCTTGTTACTCACCTGTGCAGGTACAGACAGGTGTGTTACTCAGCTGTACAGGTACATATAGGTGTGTTACTCACCTGCACAGGTACATACAGGTGTGTTACTCACCTGTATAGTACAGACAGGTGTGTTACTCACCTGCACAGGCACATACAGGTGTGTTACTCACCTGTATAGTACAGACAGGTGTGTTACTCAGCTGTACAGGTACATACAGGTGTGTTACTCACCTGCACAGGTACATACAGGTGTGTTACTCACCTGCACAGGTACATACAGGTGTGTTACTCACCTGTACAGTACATACAGGCTTGTTACTCACCTGTGCAGGTAGTCATGCAGCTCTCCTTGGTGATGTAGTTGTTCTTGTTTCCTCTGCAGCCTCCGTAGATGAATGGTTGGCAGCTTCCTGTCTTACGCTCGTAGTACCAGTGTTGAAATGCAGCTCTGCAGGGACCCACCTCAGGCTCTGCCTCACAGCGCTCTGATTGGACAACACCACACAGACATGTCAGATTTACCTTGTTATCTTCAGTCGGATAATATTTTGATTCATGAAGGAGGTCAAACATTTGTTCGATCAGAGAAATCTACAGGTTAAACCTCAACTGAAGAAGAGCTTGTTAAATCTGAATCACAGGGTGAATACACTCGTTATTTCTCACTGTGTAGAACACGATGTTTATAGTCTGGGTTGGGACTGCACTCGGCTCTCACCTCGCCACATACAGGTGACTGAGCATGCTCAGTCTGGGCAGAGCGGCAGTGATAACAGAGACAGTGGGAACACACACAACAGCAGCAGTTTGCTGACTGTGGTATGTTTAACACTGTGAGACAGAGTGTGTGTCCTTGGTGGACATCTGAGCTCGTTTTACCTGTCTGTTCGTCTCTCAGCTGACGGTGAAAATAAACTGATGTTTATTAAACTCTGACTCATGCAGGTGAGCACACCTGTCTCTGTTACAGGACATCATGTTTTATCCAACATGACCTCAGCTGCAGTTTGTGACTTCTGTCAGCGTCTTGGAGTCTGAACTCGTCCTGACACAGAGACTCTGAACACGGAGATAAGCTGTGTTTATCAGACGACTGATTACACCAGGATTCATTTATCAGAGTGGACAGTTCAGAGGGCACAGTGTGGACAGCTCAGAAGACACAGAGTGGACAGCTCAGAGGACACAGTGTGGACAGCTCAGAGGACACAGAGTAGAAAGCTCAGAGGACACAGAGTGGACAGGTCAGAGGACACAGTGGACAGTTCAGAGGACACAGTGGACAGCTCAGAGGACACAGAGATGGACGGACGGACACATCACCAAGAATCAAACTGTGACACAAGAGTTGAAACGTACCTGCGAAGTCAGTAGCAGACATTTCTGTAAGAGAAGAAAAAGACGATGTTAATGATGATGACATCATCTCAGTTTCTCCTCTCAGAACAAACTGCAGCTCGTTTTTATTCTTCAGGATCAGTTTGTCTTTTCTGTTTGTCCTCCCAAACAACTGTCTGTCTGTGTGTGTGTGTGTGATGTGACATCATCATCATCATCATCATCATAAGTGTGTTTAAAATAGAGCAGACTGAGCTCCATCAGGAGCTGACAGAGGACAGATTTAATCATCATGTGTAATACTCTCTTCATGCTGCAGGAGGCGCCACCGAGGCTTCAACTGATCACGCTCAGATCACACCCTCCAAAACTACAGAAACTTGGACCTGACAACACAGATTCAGTTAAATGGCTCTAACATGACAAACTGACGACTGGCTGTGGGCCAGTGTCGGGCCGTCACTGAGCGTCTGAGGTCGTCGGCCCACCTGAGTTTAGGTGAGTTCAGGTGTGTTCGGGTGAGTTCAGGTGAGTTCAGGTGTGTTCGGGGGTATTCGGGTGTGTTCGGGTGAGTTCAGGTGAGTTCAGGTGTGCTCAGGTGTTTTCACGTGTGTTCAGGTGAGTTCAGGTGTGTTCAGGTGTGCTCAGGTGTGCTCAGGTGTGTTCATGTGTGTTCAGGTGTGTTCAGTTGAGTTCAGGTGTGTTCAGGTGTGTTCATCTGTGTTCAAGTGAGTTCAGGTGTGTTCAGGTGTGTTCAGGTGTGCTCAGGTGTACTCAGGTGTGCTCAGGTGTGTTCAGGTGTGCTCAGGTGAGTTCAGGTGTGTTCAGGTGTGTTCAGGTGAGTTCAGTTGTGTTCAGATGTGTTCAAGGGAGTTCAGGCATGTCCAGGTGAGTTCGAGTGAGTTCAGGTGTGTTCAGGTGTGCTCAGGTGAGTTCAGGTGAGTTCAGGTGTGTTCAGGCAAGTTAAGGTGAGTTCAGGTGTGTTCATCTATGTTCAAGTGAGTTCAGTTGTGTTCAGGCGTGTTCCAGTGAGTTCAGGTGTGTCCAGGTGAGTTAAGGTGAGTTCAGGTGTGTTCAGGTGTGCTCAGGTGTGCTCAGGTGAGTTCAGGTGAGTTCAGGTGAGTTCAGGTGTGTTCAGGCAAGTTAAGGTGAGTTCAGGTGTGTTCAGGTGTGCTCAGGTGTGTTCATCTATGTTCAAGTGAGTTCAGTTGTGTTCAGGCGTGTTCCAGTGAGTTCAGGCGTGTCCAGGTGAGTTCAGGTGTGTTCAGGTGTGTTCAGGTGTGCTCAGGTGAATTAAGGTGAGTTCAGATGTGTTCAGGTGTGTTCAGGTGTAGGTATTACCTGTCTCCTGAGTGGGGACTGACTCTGTAGCTGCAGGTTTAGGACCCTCACCCTCCTGAGATACCTCTGGATGGACAGACAGAGACACAGACAGACAGACAGAGAGAAAGAGACACAGACAGAGACACAGACAGAGACACACACAGACAGACAGAGAGAAAGAGACACAGACAGACAGACAGACAGAGACACAGACAGAGACACAGACAGACAGACAGACAGAGACACAGACACACAGACAGACAGAGAGACAGAGGCACAGACAGACAGACAGAGACACAGACAGACAGACAGACAGACAGAGACACAGACACACAGACAGACAGACAGACAGAGACACAGACAGACAGACAGACAGAGACACAGACACACAGACACACAGACAGACAGACAGACAGAGACACAGACAGACAGACACACAGAGACACAGAGACACAGAGACAGACACACAGACACACAGACAGACAGAGACACAGACAGACAGAGAGACAGAGACACAGACAGACAGACAAAGACACAGACACACAGACAGACAGACAGACAGACAGACAGACAGAGACACAGACAGACAGACAGACAGA